CCATTTTCGTTTGTCTAAAATTTCGCTCGGTGACAAATCGCATATCGAAATGCTGTCGCGTTTAGTACAAGGCGAAATACAACCAGTGAGCCAGTGATAGCGATCGTCAATTTTAATAACGCATCTTACAAGTGCGCTTTTAACAAACGAACCATTACTTTCGCCACCGTAAACATCAGCTACTTCTTGCAACGTTTGATTATGATATTCGATAAAACTACGCATAGCAATCGGTAGAAGCAGTTCTTGGGCGCCAGCATACTGACGATTTTCATCCATTATCAAAATTTTATTCGACACATTAGATTGTTCATTTAAAACATTTTCAAAATACGAAGTGTCTAAAGCGACGCTCTGTGTGTCGTTTGTAGACATGCCTCCTTTCATGCATTCTTCAATCATACGATGATGTTCTTTAGAAGGAGGATGCTGAATGGCGATATTGCCAATATACGAATTCATTTTACTTGAAAAGGAAAAAGAAGAAAGTTGTGAGATGGCATGAAAATGAAGTTCGTTGTAAATTTTATTGTCAAAATCAAATAAAACAAATCCAAAGCGATCGTGTCAATGACATTATAAATTTCCAACAAAGTAGAGTATTTTTTCAAATCTAACATTTCCACATGGCTAACACGTTTTCATAAGGTTTTTTTAGCGCAACACGTTCATCTTCTTCGTTTTTACATCGACTCAATTTGTTGTGTAAAAAATCTTTGATAGGCGGGCAACACGGGTTATCGTCAACGTCGACGAGCGGCTCTTCCAAACTTTCATAACTAGTTTTAGAATAAGGAAAGCAACTTTTTCCTGTAAAAAACTGAGTTCCTTCGACATTGCTAATCAAGTCAGCTCCTCGTTGATGCGAAACAGTTTTTGTTTCAATCAAATATTGTATAACCAACAAACCTACTTGTTCTTTAGTTTTTGTGTCTAAATTACGAGTAGCATCTGCTAGCGACGTGTTTGTAATACGATAACTGTCTTTAAACACACAAAAATCCCCAAACGATAACGATTTAGTCTTGCTCATGTTGTTAGTAATAAAAAAAGAATGTTCTAACGACAGTCGTTTGACGATGTTATCAAAATCGCATAAATCAGGATCGTCTTTATGTGACCACGGAAAGCTGCAAAATTCTTCAAGTGCTTATTAATCATTACACTGTGATCGAAAGGAGCATTGGGCGAAAAAATGTCCACGCGAGGTTTTTCAACTCTGCCATATTGTACATTGCAATACGAATGCGCCAACCCCAATACGGAACCAGTCCAATGGTCGTGATCGTTAACTGCATGATCGATATAGCGATACACGAGAGATTGCAAATATGTTTCCAGGGTTGCTTATTATTGTTGACATATTTGCTTGGGGTTTCTTCAGTCATACTTAAACTTCCTGCCACTAGACAATGGTCCCATACTTGTCCCATTTTACTAACACTACTCGTAAAATCAAAATACTTTAAAACGACTGAATAGTAAGAAACAAAATTTCATTATAAAAAAAAAACGAATCGGATAACATGTCTTCAAACCTTTCTTCCTCTAATTCAAATCTTCTTCGAACTGTATTGACTATTGCTAATAGTGTATCATTGCTGACCATCAAATATTCACACAAACTTCCATTTTGACTATTCGTATATGGTAAATATTCACACAAACTTCCATGTATCGACTATTCGTATATGGTAGAAAAAGGTAATTGTTTCTATATGAGTTTTTTAGTATCGTTGGTGCAAATTAAGAAGCAATGGTTTTCCCCTAACGATTGTCAGGAAAGTTTAGACGAAGAACGACTTATAGAATATGCAACAAATGATTGCCTAGACACAAAAGAACAACTGGAATGGTTTAAAATAAGAAGTTTTTAATATAAGTTATGAATGTTTATCTATTCTTTTAGATGAAATAAGTGAATGGTTGGTTTTAAACAAGTTTAACTTCATTTTTAGTCATTTTTAAGTGGTTACCTAAACCGGTGAAGGTGCATTTAAAATTCGAGAAAAGAAATCGTTTTCAACGTGTAGCCTATAAACGCTTTACAAAACTTTATGAAAGTAAAAAAATCTTTCGCGATGATCAAGATCAACATCGTGTTTTTGCAAACGAAATTGAGCGAGTAGAAAGTAACGAAAATTTAAAACGACAAAATACTACTCAATCAATGTTGCTAGATAACAAAAAGGCATGCATTGCGTTTCCTTACCTAACTAAACGCTTTCAATATCGATTTGAAAATGCCTTTCAGGGTTATGTATGTGATTTTTGTCAAAATTGTTATGATAGTCATAGAGGGCATCGAACATGTGCAGAATTTTATAAGGAAAACAAACTTGTTTATCCGCTAAAGAAGCGTTTTTACAAACCTCAACAAGTTCTTTTCTATCAATCTTGCAACTGTTTTCCTTTGTATACTACGTTTGATTGTGAAACTGAAACACGCAACGGGCAATTATTTTATTATTTTCACAGTGTGATTCTTTTTTGTACAAATGAAAAGTTGAGTGCTGAAATTTTTGGTTACGATACTCAAGGCAACGTTTTGAGAGAATCAAGCATGTTTGGATTCACGTGTTGACACAATACGCGACTTTCAAACAAATAAAAACATGCAAAAATGCGAAAAAGATAAAGCAAATGCTTTTCGATATTCTCCTTGCTTGTTACTTGCAAATAGTTTGAACTAAAACGACTAAGACTGAAATGATTCATTTTGCTAATATTACCGAACAAAATGTAAACGACAGTAGCATGATAAGCATCTTTGCATTGGTTCACGTTATGATTGCTTGACAAAATGGTTTTTTCATAAATGCGTTTGTACACACTCAATTTACATATGGCACATTTCGGAAGCTCTTCATCAAATAATTGTTGTCTTTCGCTCCGCGAAATACGAAGCAAGTGATTTTCTTTTAACTTTTCATGCATTAAAGAAATAACTACATAACATAAAGCGAAAAGATCAAAAACACGTAAACTCTCCGACAAGTCCGACACATCTTCAACTTTTTGCTAACGTTTTAAACGAACTACCTCTAATAACGGATTCACGTGTTGACGAAGAGACCAAGGTAACTTTTGAAACAAAAATTCCATACTCTCTTTCGTATTTAAAAAAAACATGCTTGATTCTCTCAAAACGTTGCCTTGAGTATCGTAACCAAAAATTTCAGCACTCAACTTTTCATTTGTACAAAAAAGAATCACACTGTGAAAATAATAAAATAATTGCCCGTTGCGTGTTTCAGTTTCACAATCAAACGTAGTATACAAAGGAAAACAGTTGCAAGATTGATAGAAAAGAACTTGTTGAGGTTCGTAAAAACGCTTCTTTAGCGGATAAACAAGTTTGTTTTCCTTATAAAATTCTGCACATGTTCGATGCCCTCTATGACTATCATAACAATTTTGACAAAAATCACATACATAACCCTGAAAGGCATTTTCAAATCGATATTGAAAGCGTTTAGTTAGGTAAGGAAACGCAATGCATGCCTTTTTGTTATCTAGCAACATTAATTGAGTAGTATTTTGTCGTTTTAAATTTTCGTTACTTTCTACTCGCTCAATTTCGTTTGCAAAAACACGATGTTGATCTTGATCATCGCGAAAGATTTTTTTACTTTCATAAAGTTTTGTAAAGCGTTTATAGGCTACACGTTGAAAACGATTTCTTTTCTCGAATTTTAAATGCACCTTCACCGGTTTAGGTAACCACTTAAAAATGACTAAAAATGAAGTTAAACTTGTTTAAAACCAACCATTCACTTATTTCATCTAAAAGAATAGATAAACATTCATAACTTATATTAAAAACTTCTTATTTTAAACCATTCCAGTTGTTCTTTTGTGTCTAGGCAATCATTTGTTGCATATTCTATAAGTCGTTCTTCGTCTAAACTTTCCTGACAATCGTTAGGGGAAAACCATTGCTTCTTAATTTGCACCAACGATACTAAAAAACTCATATAGAAACAATTACCTTTTTCTACCATATACGAATAGTCGATACATGTGTTTCTTAATTCAAATTGACTAATGTACGACGGACAAAAACGAAACAATTCTGCTTGATTTTTCTTTTTTAAAAAACGACTTACAAAGGCAAGCGATCGTCGACTTAATGGAACATGTTCGTATTGTTTTCGGATCGGATCGTCTTGTATTCGTTTGAGATATTGTTGAACCATTTTTAAATTACGTTTTGATAACGAATTGGCACACAAAGCCTTGTTTCGATAATCATACTTTTTTATTTTATACTAAAGTGTATCGCGTGCGCCAATAATAGAACTTCTTATTAAGACAAATCGTTCAGTACTCATTCCACCGATGATTTGCGCTTGAAATTGGGATAAATTATACAAAACAAATCCACTGTCTATATGAGAATTGTGACGGCTCCCTTCTACATTAACATGCACAAGTTCTTCAATTTTTTTAGAAATTTTCAATGTTCGAACATAATGCACTGGAGATCTAAATATTGATTTTTCAAGACGATATCCGTCCGCTTCTGACCAATAAAACATGACCACTGTCACAAAACCAACTAAAAAATTTAGACTTTCTGGCATCTGTCCCTTGGTTCTGCTCATTTCTTTAAGAATAATATCTCTTGTTTTGTTTTCGATAAACACACGGACGTCGTCCGACGTCATTTGATCAGAAACAATTAAATCATTGACGCCGCTTTCATCCGAATAGTGTTTCGATGTCCATAAAATTTTTTTATAATAAACATCATTATTGTGTTTTTCTTCACTGATTTCTTTTTTAAATTTCATTTTTTTACTCTAAAAAAATTTTTTTATTGAACAAATATATATAAAAATAAAAACTTATTTTCTCACTAAGTAAACCAATTTATCTCAATCTTAATAATCATCATAAAAAAATTTTTTTTTTAAAAAAAAATTCTTACAAATTTTTTTTCTTCGGTTAAAAAACTTTTTTTTTTTTACAATGTATTTTTTATTGTTTTTATACAATTATATTCCTTGCATACAGCCAGTTGAACCGAATCCACCAATTCCTCTTCCTGTGCTTGTTAACTCCTCTTCTGGACCAACAATGAAAAGTTGAGGCGAAAAACATTGCAAAAATACTAATTGAGCTATTGCTAAATATGTTTTAACTACAAACTCACGGTCGTTATTGTTCTTTAACAAAACACAGATTTCTCCACGATAATCGCTATCAACAACGCCACCTTCTACTGTTATTCAAATACCAGTGGGAATTTAACAGTTGCTCGCTTTATTAAATACACATCTTCCATAGCAAAAATGTCAAACCCAACGCTACCTTGTGTAGCTCGTATTGGCATTTTTGCCGATCCTTTCAATGACATAAACATTTTTTTAGTTTTTTTTCTCTAAAAAAATTTTTTTTTAATTAATAAAAAAAATTTAAATTTTATATATGGTTTTTTTTGGTAAAAAAAAAGTTATATTTGATAATACAAAAAAAAGAAATTTAACAAAAAAATTTTTTTTTAAATTAAATTGCAAATACATATAACGTAGGTTAGGCATATTTAAAATATCAGTCAAAGATATATCTTTACAGCTTCGTAATCTACAATGTTTGTTATGATGTTTTGTATCTTCTATTTGACAATCGTCAAGGTAACAATTAGCATGCACTAAAAAATTATTAAATAATTCAATCATATCATAATGAAAGCGTTGTTCTTCCAAATCAGTAGGCGACAAGAAACTACTTGTTAGTAACTCATAATGGGATTTTTTTTTAAATAAATTTGCTGCAGATAAATGTAACGAAATATCAACCATAACTTTTCATATTTGTAATACGCTGTTGGATGCACGTAAAATGCTTTTCGATGCGAAAACACTTTAGAAGCTTTTTGTAATTTTGTAAAAATCGAATGGTTTAATGATTTCCAAGTAAGCGCAAATAAATTAGTTAAAGTAAAGTACTTACTCGGTGCTCTCACTTTTTCCAAACTGCAATCTAACTGTTCAACATCTTCGTAACTCATTTTTCCGTACAAAAAATAATTAAAATACGACATTGTTTTAACAAAGCTAGTGATATATGTAGAACATAGTCTACCATGTGTTCTTCCATCTCTGCATTTCGTTCGCAAGTTATCAATTGTTTTACATAAATCCAGTCCTCATGAATATCGGGTATATCATGAATATCCATATCGTGTCGACAATTCAATATAAAATCTTTTATAAAATCCTGCACATCAGCTGCATACCTCCATTCTTGACACACAATCAAACAACGTTTTAAAAGTATTTGCTTAAGCACACTAATCGATTGCCTTTTTACTTGAAACATTTTTTTAAACTAAAAAAATGAATAATCTTTTTTCTTTTTTTTAATTCCAAATCGCTTTCCGTTTTGTTTTTATTTTCCAAATTGTTTTTATTCCCCGAATGTGTTTTTTCGTATCGAAAGCCAGTAAAAGGTTGAGTATATCTTTTTGTTATTCCTTCTTCGTCAACAACATAAAATGATATTATTTTTTCTCTTACAGACATTTTTTATCTTTAATAAATAAGTAAAAAAAAATATTTTTTATAAAAAAATGAAAAAAAAATTATTTTATTTTATTGTAATAATTAAAAAAATGTAATAAAAAATGTATTAAATAAAGAAACTAATGTTAAAAATTTATTAATAAAAAAATAGTAAATATATTAAAAAAGAAAATTAAAAAATACAATTTTTTTTATTTTTTAATTTTTTTTTTCATAATAACATAATAACATCTGGGATTCACATGGGATACTAAACATTCAGTTTTTGCTTCACTCGGTTATTCAAATGTTGATGAAAAAATATCAAACTTTAGAGCTGTTGTTCAAACTCTTATTCAATCTGGAATCCGATTTGCCCACCCCAGTTCTATTTCCTATATATATAAATCATTGGCAGTCCCCACCTTAACTAATGGTATAGGGCTATGTGAAAATAATCCTGGTCTGGTGAAAAAGCTAGATATAATTGGAGGGAGTGCGCTAAAATCGTTTTTAAATGTTTCAAAAAATAGTAAAAACTATAAGAATTTGTTATTTAAAATCCAGGAAATTTCAAAAAGTGTTCAACAAAATAAGTTAAACTTGTTCCTATGACTTCTTAATAACAAAACAACTGCAGACATTATCTTTTCACAACTGCAACACCCGTTATTTCAACATTCGTTTGTTAGTGATATTCAGGAACTATGCCATCTTAAGATATTAAATTTTCAAAACCTAATTCAAAATAAAAAGAAGGTAAAAATACCACTTTCTAAAAGTAAAATTCCTTCCGAAGTTGAACGAAACTTGAAGTATGCAATAGAGTGCTGGAATGCAAAAGAGCAAGGAGGAGTTTTCAAGCAAATTCTGGAAGAAAACGTTTTTAAGCAAAGTCATCCGAAATAACTTTCTTATTTTTTTCTTTTTACCTTGTAAATTGGGTGTTAAATAAATAAAATAATAATAATAATAATAAACAAAAACAAAAAAACTAAATATATTTTTGCAATGCATTTTTTGCTGTTTTTGTAATGCTGACATCGTGGGCTTTCTCAATTGTTTTTAAAGCAAAACCCATCGCCTCTTGAGAAACAACTCTCCAATCCGTCGGTGTTACAATTTTATGAGTCACGTCTTGTATGCCTAATTTATATTGTCGCACTGCTTCAAAAATAGGCTTTGAATGTAACTGCCCATCAATATACGATTCCAATTCCTCATTTAACAAATTTCGAGTATAAAAAGAACACTTTCTTTCGCTGTCAAAATAACTTCGTTTGTCTATCATATACTTTGAAAAAGCAAAATGCCTCTCCTGTTCTGCTAACTGGATTTCATGCACAACCTTCAACATCTTTTTGACTAGTCTCGCATTTTTTCTACTTCTTATTAAATTATACTCAATAACGCACTTATCAATACAATTATCACATAAATGTTGCGGTTTTTCAATTTTATCATCTACCAACAAATCCATTAGATTTTTACCTAAACACTTTTTCCGTTTGTCTTTACTTTTAAAGGATTTGTACACATCATTTGAGGTTTCATCTAAAGGATTTTTACACATCACTTGAGGTTCCATTTTTTTGTTTCACCTTCAAAAAACTATATTTAAAAAAATATAAAATTTTATTTTGTTTGCATAAAAAAATAATTATAAAAAAATATATTAACTAAAAATTATTAAAAAATTATTTACCATAAATTTATTAATTTTTTTTAAAAAAATATTTTTTTTTTTTTTTTTTTTTTTTAAAAAAAAGATACAAAGATAATAAAAAAAATTATTTTAAAATATGTTTTCACATTTTAGTGATGCCGTATTCATTGTCATATGTTTTTTTATTCAAAAGTTTAGCAGCACAATCACAAGCTTCGTTAAAACTCGATACATTTTCGTCGCCTAAAAAATCCTTTGAATTTTTTTTCAAGTAAAGTATAAACAAACACCATATTCCACATAATTCTATTTCGTCTTTACTTTTTAAAAAATCCTTGCTTTGCATAAACAAATCCTTGCTCATACCATCTTTCCGACAGTTAGTTTCGCAACAAAATGAAAAAGTGTACTTTAAAACACACTGCCATATAAAAGCAAGATAACCACCTCTCAACAAACTTATCACTAACGGTGGATTACCATAGCAATTTGCAAAAACATTAACACCATACGCGCAACCGTCTTTATTTTGGTAAATAGAAGCTGGATCCAAAATTAATTCAATTAAACAATCTATTTTTTCAAATCTATTGAATCTCGATCCATGAACACGATTACAAGTGCTATCCAATAAATTTAAAATGTAACGGTAAAGCGACATCTCGTAATAGTAATAGTCATCACTTTGAGCGTTTTTTCAAGGACGAAATGTAATATTCACCTTTCTTTTCCTCAACTCATAAACATATTGAAACGTTCTAAAAATACCTTAAAATCTGTCTCTGTGTAAGGGTTAGGAATAGTATAAAGAAAAAAATAGTTCGGTAGGCTTCATCATGAAATTCATCAGAATATGTTATGTTTTTTAACATTAACAAACTTGTCGAATAATCTGTGTACGAATAAACACTACCTAACTTCTTATATTTTGTTTGACGAAAATATTCTGCAGCTATGTCATAAATGCATCCTGACTCGCCAATCAAAATAAAATATTCTAAAAAAGAACAAGGCTCATACGAACAGTTTCCAAAAGGAACGCATAACTCGCTCGAATGTGACATTAAAAATCTTTTTAATGCAAA